GCAGCCCACAGATCCATGCATGCAGAATGTAAAATACTCCAATAATGATGAGGCAGTCACAAAAACTATTCCACCTGTAACAGTGGCACAGATTCCAGCTCTCAGAACAGTGTGGTATGCCACCTTTTGGGTTAATCTTTAGGCATCATTCCCACAGAAGGCTATGTTTTAAAGACCAATTAACTCTAGAGACAAGAGGAGAAATTGATGATGATAATACACCCAAAAGTAACTCACAAGACTTGTTCCAGCAGCTTAATTTAACCACTGGAGCTAACTATAACCAATACCTAATTATGGTCAAGTGTGGAGATTCAGATTGAGATGTAGCATTGTACCATGAATTCTGCCCTGGAGTTTCTGCCAGGAGTATCTTTGTGTTTCAGTTACATTTTAAAAGACAACTTTTAAAAAAACAGGTTACTATTGACAAATTCTCATAGTGATAATAATAATAATATATATATATATATATATATAAAAAAGGCACCTGAAAGTTTAACTTAAAAGCATTAATATTGTTCTACTGTTCTGTCCATTTAAACCATAATATTTTCAATTTCAGAGGGAATGGCTAACACATTTCACAGAAGAGCAACTAAATTGTCTACATGCAAAATGCTATCAAAAGAGAAGGTGGGGAGGAAGAAGAAATATTTTTCTGCCCATTAACTTCTTCCAGGAACAAGAGAACTAGGTGCTTATGTGTACCAACAACACTAAAAATATTTTTAAGGCACAAATGTAATTATTTTTTTATGGCCCTGATTCAGCAAGGTAGACAGACTTCTGGTTAACTTGAAGCCTGTTGAGTAATACCATTGACTTTAATGTGATTACTCATGTGCTCAAAGTTAGGGGTTCTGCTATACTGTACAATTTGCAGGTAGTTAATGGAATAAAGAGATAACTCTAACCCACATCAGCAATTCTGGGGCTGGTCAACAATCTTATAGTTAAAGAGCCTTATCACAACACCTATAGAAGAAAGCAGTGAGAAGAAAATAAATCTTGATGAAATATGAAAGATCCAACACTGGCCAAAAAACATACTGCTTTTTAAGAAGACAAAAATCCAGGCAATTGAGGCTACCAAAATTCACTATCAGGTTACACAGGTAACAGAGATTATGAGGAGCTATAAAACAACAACAGGAAGCTTGTTTTTCCCTATTGTTGTCCAGGTATGATTTCCTCTAGTTGAAATATAAAAAGTAAATTCTTCAAAATATCAAACTAAAGGAAGTACCTTTAGTAAGAGAGGTAGTAAGTCCATTAGACCTCCCTACCATCAGTGCAAAAGAGGAAATCAAATAGGATAACATTTTTTCATAAAACTGAGTTATTTCTTTATATGGGCCTTCAAAACAAAGATAATACTTTTCCTGGAATTACTTTTTTTCCACAGAAAGCAGAATAAGGCTAGAAATAGAGGAGTTAAAAAACTTTGTGAAATTAAAATAGCAATAAATTTTAGCATTGTTTCTTCAGTTAAATTCAGCCCATGATGAAGACATCAGCTGCTCCCTGCAGGAGATCCTGCCCTATCCACCTTAGGTTTGTCCCAAGGTGTTTGATGGCGGCAGAAGGAAGGAAAAGGCTTTGAGTAAAATTCCACATGCTCATATCCCAGAAACACATGTCCCTCTTCCATCCACAAAAGTGGGAAGCCCCAAGCCCCTACACTGACAACCTTCTACTACAGACGTCTTCAGAGTTCCTCACTGCAAGTTAAAGTTGAGTGTTCAAGTCAAGGCAGAGTAAGAATAGGGTTTGACCTGCTGCAAGTTATTTCAGATTGAAAACAACACGAAGAAACATTGTTCTCCCACAAATTGCAGTGAATTTTAATCCGTTCTCACTCTTTGATTATATAAAGTGAGTTCTGTGTTATGATCTCTAACATTCTGCCCCACATCCAAATGCATTGCTACAGCCAAAAGCAGTTCCTTCATCCCAGAACAATCAACTGCCCACTTGGGGCTGTGTCAGTGATTTTCTACAATCACTGGTATCATGTTGCTGGGCCAAGAATATACTAGTTATTTTGGCAGGTTTCTTTTACTCCAAATCAGCCATACATGTTTACGGTTCTGTAAGGCCATAATGATGCAATTGCAGCAGAGCAGTCAAATGTATATTAAGTGCACATAGAAAGCAAAACTAACTTGCTCTCACATTGTAGTTGTTTTTCTGGTTCCATAAAATATGTTGTCCCTATTTATTCCTCTCTCTGCTTTTATCACATATTTCCAATCAGCAGCCATTAACCGACAATCGAAATGGAACAAATGGGTATGGCAGAGGTGAAAATAAAGTAACATAGCATTAATATTCATCAAAAGAATGAGTGGCATAAATCAATAATTTCCACAGCAAACAGGGCTACTCTCCTGCAGAAGTCTTATGTGACATGGGGAATATTCAAGACAAATCTTAATATGTATTAGTGCACTGTTTCCAAATAGAATTGTTTTCAACTTCATTTCTGTTATAAAGAAATAGCACACATATTTTATTTTTATAGAAGGTATTCCAAATTATAGCTAAATCAAATATTTTCACTCTGTTGCAGGACCTCTTCAAAAGTCACATCAGTGGCTTAGATTACCCTGCTGAATAGAAATGCTCCATCTCTGCTTTTGCACCAAGCCAGAGCTGTTTGTTTCTGCCTTGGCCTCCATCTTAGCCACCTCTGTATGAAAAAAAAAACAGTTTTCACAGCACAAACTCACAAGTGATGACTATTTGCATTGTCTCTCTTTATAAAATATCAGTACCATCACCTCTCCTTTGGATTTGCACACGGGAGCAAAGGGAAAAAAAAGCTTTTGTGACCTACAAAAGCCTTACTTGAAATAATTCTCTCCGACTTGAGGCCTTTTGGAATGGAAGGGATATATTGTTTTGACTTGATTAAAGCTGAAAAGTTGATTTGACATCCTGTTGTCAAGGAAACCAATTCACACACAAAAGAAAACAGTTGTGATGGTATCATTCAGACTATTCAAGTGACCTTAGGAAGAAAAAAAGGCTTCAGTTCCAAAGATTTGTATTCAACTCACTTCACCACTGTAGAAATAAAGATCATTGCTCTTTATGCTTATTGGAAAGCAGTTTTCAATCTGGGAAAAGAAAAATGCCACATCTTCTTCCATCTGCCAGATCCAATACTTTGCTGGGAATATACACATAAACACACCTACCATTTATTTGCCTACTTCAAAGAACCTCAGAAAGAATCACACTGAAGACTTATTGGGAAGAAGAAGGAATTTCTTTAATTGACAGGACTGTGATAAATACCCCCTGACACATACCCCACCTATTGAACAGCAGCTTGTAAGCCAGGTTTTAAAATATCCTCCTTCAACTGCAAATAGACTTTACCTCAAACACAGCATTGTTTGCATCCAGCTTTGTTTCCCTGGGAGAAAAGGAAAAACAGCATTTTTTTTTTCTCTGTCAGATTCCGAGATCCCTCACAAATTGAGTTTTCCATGCATTCAATAAATGAAGTACACCTGTGCTCACTCTTCCTACCTAGAGAATCCCAAAGAGGCATAACTATCCTGGCCACAACATCATCATCCAGCTTTGCAGTCCATTCAAGTCTCACAGAGATTTCATTCCCAAGCAGTCTGTAAGTAGATTGGAGAAATGAAACTTTCTATCTGCTCACACACCGTAATTACACATCTCCTTCTCCAATGACATAGTCTTGCCTGGCTGAGTGAGCAGACACATGACTAAATAGCAACTTGTCTCAAATTCAGCTTAGAAAAAAAATAGGCATGATATTAATAAGGAGGGAAGTATACTGAGGAATAAATGCCAGTGTTCTTACATTATTGTCATTTAAGGGCATCACACCAAAGGTCACAGAGATAATAAGCCACAGTCACTTTCCATTTGTTACACAACATACAAATTGCCACAGCATTAATGAATATCTTTTCCCATTCCTGGCCAGACAAGACACTGTATTATTTCCTTCTAGACAAGTACCTAACCCTTGGAATTCATTATTTCCATCACTTCTTGCAGCACTTTGTCCTTAGGGCTGAGCATAAATGCCACAAGGCGGTTGTGACTGGAGCACCAAATGCCTGAGCCTGATTTCTTTCTGCTAGACCTTTTTTTTTGCTGGAAGAGCATACAGAGCATATTGGTATCTTTTGTAATCAAATATGTACACACACACACAGACATTCATATGTGCTCTATTACAAGTATCTTAAACTCCTTGCAGACTATGGGGGAAAAAACCCGACATTTTCATAATTTGTGGATATTGCCTGATACTTATACATTGAAATAATAGTTATGCTATTAAATGCCAACTGACCACAACAATAGAAGATACCACAGGACAACTGCATTTTCACTTAAAATGATGACAACTGGAAAGTAGTTCTTGGAACAGAAATGACATTCACAGAAATGTGGAAGGGCTTCTACGAACAGATATACTGCTTAAACCCTCTTTACTTCTAATAAACTGCTAAGATAGCACAGCTGAGCTATAGAGAGAGGAATGCCTCATTTCTAATCTGTACTTCATTGTATTTTAAGTTTAGGAATTTTGCATAAATATAGATAGCAACAGCTGAACCAAATTCATACTATTTCATAAACTGAGGGGTTTTTAAGATGACAAATTATTATTTCCACTGTTCACTGTAAGTATAAAGAATATGCATATGAAAAGAGAATATTGAAGGCTGGTAGCTTTGTACAGTTCTGAAAAGGACTAAACTTTATGTGCATAATTAAAATAAGAGAGAGAAAAATGAAGTCCAATGCCAAATGCTGAACTAAAATAAGCCAAGAATATTTGCTGCATGTAATCAAACCACCTCCACCTCTGTCCCCCAAACTGAAACACTGCACTGTGCTCTCTGATGAACATCTTATCTTGGTATTTTCTCCTCTCCCAACCAACAAACTCAAAGAGCAAGAGACAGAAAAAAGAAAGCTGATAGCACTGTTAAACTTACCCACAAACAGGTCCATACTCTGTTATTAGCTTTGTGTGGCTTTCCCAAAAACCCTGGAAGAAAGAAAAATAACAAAGTATTTTAGAGAAATGCTTAGCAGAAGCTCTATTACACACTGTTTCTACCACTCACCCAAAGCTTTGAACCACTGCCAGGAGAACCATGGTATTAACTCATAACCTCACCTTTCTAATACTCTTCATATGTGACAAACATAGAGTCTAGAAAGGATGGCTGGAAAAACAAATCTCAACCCCAGAAAAGATCTGGACAGCCATGAAACACATTTTAACCAATGTTCCAAAATTTGTTACCATTTCATGATTTATTATATTTAAACTAACTTCATCATTTTGGTCCTGACTCCATTTTCTTTCAGATATGCAAATGGAAGGAAAATTAGCAGAGAAATTAATAAAGGGATAAGCATATGAGTTACTACACAAAAGGGAAGCACAGGGAATATGGCAAGGTCATCTTGTTTTGCTTTTACTCACATTATTAAAAAAATCCCCAAACCTGTCAAGGCAGAGTTTAGCACAAGGCAGTCAGCTGGTACACTCTGCAGAATAGTAAGCAGATTTATTTTTTTATTTTTTAGTATTTTAACTGTCTTTCATTTTCATAATTGATGAAAATTGTTATCCATTTATCTAAATAAACCTGCCACTGTACTCAATTGTTAGTGTTTTAAATGAATTCAAATTGATCAATCTAAGGAAGGTGTGCAAAATATATCCCCTTAAGTGAACAATAAAGGATCTGTTTTAATGAAACTGCAATATTTGAGGACTGTACTCCATTGTGTTTGCAACTTGTATATGGAAAAAGTAACACATTTGATTGCATTAATCTGCATTTATATTAATGGAAGACAGACTATCATGATCTGTTTTCATTCTTAAGAGAAAATTCACTAACAAAGTAGGATACTTATGTCTCATATTGAATCTTTCTTGTGTTTTATGACACACCACAGAATATTAGCTAGAACAATACAAACTCCTGTAAATACATCTACTGCTGACATAAATAAACAAACACATGTAATGTGTGTATACTTTGAGAGTACTGTACCACACTGAGCAAAAGAAAATCTGGTAATCAAAAGTAATGATCTGACTTACCACCCTTGGGTGCTAACTTATTGTCCAAATTAGCAAAGCATTTGCCACCACCTACAGTCCTCCTGTCATAGAGTCCCTCAATTATTTCTTTTATTCTTATAGTACAGTTGTGTTTTTTTTTAAATCCTGGACTTGTAATACCTTTATTCTGCAGGACAATATGTCTCCAGTTTAAGACAAGAACTCTAGATTTTCCTTTAGCTACAAAAATCACAGGATGACATGTAAGAAAACACACTAAAGATAAAATTATGAAAGAGGTGGATTAGATGATGGCCTGAGGAGAATGGGTATTGCCTGAAAAGAATATATATTCTCCCCTGAAAAGTTCTTCACTACTAAGGTAAACAGAAAAGATTCCTCATGCATTAGCACACGGAAACTAAGGTGGACAAAGCCTTTGTGATACCACAAAAACATACAGCTAACTCAAAAAGGCTTTTGCCTGCAGACACCGTGGGAGGGGAAAAGGCACACATACACTCGCACCGACCTGCATTTTTGCTATAGAGATATTCCAGCCATTGCAGGACTTCAGCCTGCAGTTGCTATGAATTTTCAGTACTACAAAGGCTGCCTGCTGATGCAAGGGGGAATCCTGGGGTCAGACTCACGCAGCACTGTTCTCCAGGCAGCTGTTTAAGGCAGGTACAGCAGGCTCAGCCCTGCTGTACACACTCTGCCCACTGTGCCCAGGAGAGCAGCCCCAAGCTGCACAAACACACTGACAGTTCCAGCCACGCTGCGGCACCAGCGCCACGCAGGGCACGGCTCGGGGTCACCGGGCACAGCCCCACAAGGGGTGCAAAGCACTGCTGTACCACAGCTGCACTGGCTGGGCAGGGCAGAGGAGCTGCCAGTCCTGTGGGACCATGCCAAATCAGCTCTGATCTCCAGCCCACTCCCCTCCTAGCCTGAGCCTTCAGCAAGGACACCCACACTGCAGCCTGAACCCCGCCTGCTCGCTTGTGCTTTGGATTGCAAGCACGCACATAGGTATTGCACTTGCTGTACCCACCAGCTGCATTCCAGTGAGCCAGCAGGATATTAACATTTTCAAGAAGCCTAGGCTTTAAATGATTCAGTGGAAATGCCTTCCAGAAAGCCAGCTTCTTGGAAGAACTGCTTCTGGCTCACTACAGGAGGGGGTCAGGCAGAACACATTTCAAATCAGTTCTGTTAACCAGTAACTGATTTTCCACCTCCAGGACTCCTAAATAATTGCACTGGTTAAAATTAACCACACTTTATTGTTTTTCCCTAAAGTGAGAAGTACTAGGCTGCAGGATGGGGGAAGAGAAGGAGGTGAAAAGCACCTGGGAAAGAGTGTAAGAAAGCATCCTCAGGAATAGAAGAAGCCTTCATTCTCTACACTCCAGGATACTTTCTCATGCCGTGCAGCACTGCACATACATACCTACCACTTCCAGCCTCCACTGTTCCCCCCTGGGACCCACTGCTGTCCTGGCCTCCCTCAGGGGCCTGGTCAGCACCTGATAGCAGCTCTTTTGGTAGCAGGCCTGGCAAAGACAAGTACACACAGGACCCCATGGCATTGTGGTGGCCAGGCCATAGACAAGGCAGAGAGCATGTGAATGCATCCCTTACACACCAAGGTACACCTTTCAGCTGGAGGAAGCTGGATCCATAAAAAGGCCCCTGTGTTTGCTCTTGATAGCCACGAGAAAAGCCAATGAACCTGCGAGAACTCAGAGTGAGGGGATAATGCCACATGTACACAGCTCTGCCAGTTTTGCAGCCTCATCCCTAAACACGGCCTCCAATAGACAGGTACTCTGAAAACATCCTCTTCCTCCTCTCCTGAGTCATGTTTGAAGCACAGCAAGCCTACCTGCTTTTGGTAACTTATTTATACTGGCTGAGTTTGGTTTGCTTCAACCAATTATTGCAGACTTGTCCACGTTTTATAATTGCACTTGTACTTAGTATCTATGACAAAGCCAAGCACCTGCTCACAATCAGCTGCTATTTTACAAGAAAATGGGAGCAGAGACCCCCATCTTTGCTTCCTTTCCTCATATTTATCCACTGGATGATCTACAGTCAAACTCAGAAACGGCACCTGCTGACTTGTACCCAGTGGCTTTAACCTCCCTCAACCAGGAATTGTAACAAAGCAACATGGGGATTAGGAAAAGGATAACCGGGGAGAAATGGAAACATATGTATTCTGGTTTTTTAGAAAAACAGAAGGAAACAGAAAATCAAAACAACACCCAGTATTATGGTATGACACTATGTGCATCAGGAAGAACTGTTGTGCGTGAAACATTCAGTAGTAACAATTAAAAGCATAGTTAGCAATGATGCTCCAAGTTTAAAAAAATCACTTAGGTTTTTCTTTGTTTGGAAGCTGCAGAATATGAACTATCATCAACTCAGAAAATGGTTGGGCCAGGGGGACTTGTCACGTGTGGCCCATACAATGAGGTACCAGCCTGAGGACAGTCCATCATCAAACAGGATAATGCAGGAGTAGGGAAAGCTTCTTCCCTTGAAGAAAGTATATTTTACAACATCTGGTACACCATGGAAACAGCAGCTCAAGTGGGCTGACTGCTGCACACCCAGAAGGTACTTTGTTTACATGGCTGGCGGTTGCCTCCCTGCAGGGAATTTGCATTCTCCGCAGCCTCTGAGCGTGTATCATCGGCTGCATCTGTGGATAGAACCACTCACAAGACCAAATCCTGCTCTCAGGGATACAGGCACAAACCCCATGGAAGAGAACAAGATTTGTGTCTGCATCAGACAAAGCAAAGTCTGGTCATTGCCAACCATTTTTCTTGAGACACTGAATGTTGAAGCTTCAGCTTGAGCTGCACACATGAAAGGGCTGAAATTGCTCAAGTATCCCCTCTCCTTTTTTTCAATAGACTCTGACACTCCAAGACAGATACTTCAGCAATTTTCTTCCTCATTGCATATTCACCTTGCTAGCTCCTCACAGCAAGGAAAAAATCTGTGGCAATGTCATCTTCCCTCCTTGCTGAAAATGGTTGTAGGCACTAAGCCAAAGTCTTCAGAAAGAGGCAGTATTTCATAGAGAAGCAATGCATTTTGATTTTTGGGGTGTTTAACATGAGGCATATTCAACCTATTCCTTTTAGATCCTGCAGATCTCAAGGCTGTAAATGGGAGATTACTCAGATTGTATGGAGGTTGCCTTGAACATTTCATCTTACTGCAGGTGGAAAACAAATGATGTGGTTTATGAACTTAACTATGCTCCTTCAGGGTCATGAGAAAAATGGTTTGAAGGATCCCCACAAAGCTGGGATCCAGCAGATGCATTCTCCTGACAGTAACTCAAAATGGACCCGTTTGGACTATGAAATGGGTCCTAAAGAATGCAATGAGGGTAGCCCTTGCATTTTGTAGTGTACTGATAGGACAAAAGCTACTGAGCTCTGTGGAGATAGATGTGATGGGCCCATCAAAATTCACTGCAAGTGGGAAACATTACCCATGGAAGAACAGCCAAGGGAAACAAGCTTCTTTTGTTGCTCCCTTCTGAAAAATATCAGATATTATCTGATGTCAATCACTTTACCAAGACACCCTGGACTCAGACTTGTGACTCAGAAGGCAAAGATGCCACATCCCATAAGTAGTCCCATATATGCTCCACCTTTACCACCCTATATCAGATGTGATGCTCTGTTTCATTGTGATAGTAATAATCACAGCGTCATTGTTCAAGTGCACACCTCATATCAAGAGATAAAAAAATCCATACAGTTATTTATGGTACATAATGACAATAAACAACATTTATGGATCAGATTTTTAGCATTCAATGAGCTTTCGCACATCTTTTTTATTTAGATCACCTGAAAAAGAAAATTGCTAATAACCTAGTACCCAAAATTATTTTTTTTAACACAAGCTAACATTTAATTAAA